CCCATCGCTAGTAGATTGGAGGCCATCGCTCTTAGGTTGGAGGCCATTGCTAGTAGATTGGAGGCCATAGCTAGTAGGTTGGAGGCCATAGCTAGTAGGTTGGAGGACATGGCTAGTAGGTTGGAGGCCATAGCTAGTAGGTTGGAGGACATGGCTAGTAGGTTGGAGGCCATCGCTAGTAGGTCGGAGGCCATCGCTCCTAGATTGGAGGCCATCGCTCTTAGGTTGGCGGCTGTCTCTAGTAGGTTGGAGGCCATCGCTAGTAGGTGTTGGAGGCCATCGCTGGTGGGGTTGAGGCCATCGCTAGTAGGTTGGAGGCCACCGCTAGTAGGTTGCAGGCCATCGCTAGTAGGTTGCAGGCCATCGCTAGTAGGTTGGAGGCCATCGCTAGTAGGTTGGAGGCCATCACTAGTGGGTTGGAGGCCATAGCTAGTGGGTTGGAGGCCATAGCTAGTAGGTTGGGGGCCATGCCTAGGAGGGGTTAGAGGCCATGGCTATTAGGTTGCAGGCCATCGCTAGTAGGTTTGCAGGCCATCGCTAAGATTGGAGGCCATGGCTATTAGGTTGCAGGCCACCGCTAGTGGGTTGCAGGCCATTGTTCCAATGCCCTTGGGTTGCAGGACATGGCTATTAGGTTGGAGGCCATCGCTAGGTTGGAGGCCATTGTTCCTGCGGACTGCTGTGGACCTGTTTGGGCCTGGACGCCGATGGTGTCAAGACTGCTTCGTGTTTCTTCTGGGATGAAGGTGCTCCAGGAGTCTTTCGATCCCCAGGCTTCGAAGTGACCACTGCAGAGCTTCACCAAAAAGGTTTTGCTGTTGCTCCAGATCGCCTGAACGACGTGAAAGTAGAGTGGGAAGCAAGGATGCTACGTGCAAGGATGCTGTTGAGCTCGGGTTGAAAGCTTTTTTGCAGAATGTCATAAAATGTCATAAATAACAACATGCATCAGATTGGATCTTGCATCACTCTTGAAATAGACATATTGTTGTATCCAACATTTCTCAGCTTTAGTGGATTTGCCTCGACACCAACTGACTCCAAGTCTGTCTTCACGAACGAAATATCTGCGCCAGCATTTTTGTCACCCCAGGCAATGAAGTTCCCATTACGAAGCTGCGCGAGGAAGGCAAATTTGGTTCTCCAAATGGCCTGTGGACACCAAGTCTCACGCTTCAAGGGTACAGGGAACACAAAGTTTAGTCTCATGAATAGCAATGGCCTCCCACCTAATAGCGATGGCCTCCAACCTAGTAGTTCCTAGTAGCTTCTTGCTCCTAGCAGTGAGGCCAGGAGCTACTAGTAGCGTCCTTGCTCCTAATAGCGATAGCCTCCAACACTTAAAAAAAGATTGAAAATATTTAGCATCAAGTGCGTGGTGAAGATTGGAAGTTGCCGTCCAGCCTGGGATTGCTCCATGAAGGGCGGGCTTGGCTGTATGGCTATCCGGATGCACAAGTGCCCGCAATGCCAAAACACCAGCAAACGAGACACTGAAGTACACTAAATTTCGCAAGACTGGACTGTCTTCCTGTTGCGCATTTCATCTCACTCAATTCACGGTGCAACGGCGAAGGTCACTCGACGCTGGAGCTGTCGCTCGAAGAACCTACACAGAGCTGTCGCATCTCCTGACTGTCACCACATCGAATCACATCGACGCTTTGCTCAGAAGAAGTCAAAAATGAATCATCAAAACCTTCCAGACACCATAAGAAGTGCTCTTGGAAAAGCAGTCTTGGAGGCAGAACCCAATAGTACCCTGCACTTAAATTCAAGACCCTTTTCAAAACGCAACCTCTACAATCTTTGGACTTAGCATGGAAGAAAACATGCGATCTAGTAGGGTCTGTTCAGCGGGTTCACCCGCTCCTTGTTTGGTTTACATAGTTTGCACGCTTCACATGTCCTGTCGCAGGTGGACATGTTCCTCACTTGGAGGACCTGCTAGGAACCTCGTAGAAATACGAAAAATAAAGGCTCTTAGAGTGGCCCTTTACCTTTACTCCCTTTACCGTCTTTTTTCTTCGAACGTTTTCGTTACGTTCCCCACTCAAGGGGTGCGGGCGCGGCCGTGTGGCGATGCCTCACCGGTGCAAAGCACTTGCTTCGGTGTCGTCCATGTGTGCCCTTCGAGGAAACAAATAGCGAAGAAATGATTGCGAAAGTTCCCAACTGTTGAGCCTTAACCAAAACACACCGCAAACACAAGGCAAACCTACGCAATCTTTGCTGTTCTGTTTTGCCGTGCCCTCACTCGTGGCAGTTGTTGTTGGGTGCTGTTTTTGCTGTTGTTGCTGTTGTTGCTGCTGCTGATGTTGCTTGCAGATCTTGCTTGCTTGCTTGGTTGCTTGGGTTGGGTTGGGTTGGTCAAGTTACGTTAAGTGCAGTCCATGGCTTAAGACCTTGGCACGATGAGGAGCAAACCAACACAAGCTATGGTGTTAACAAGTGTTTGTGGATCTACAGGGACTTCGGACTTTGCTGGAGTTCGAAAAGTGGGCAGTTCACTTTTGAATCGAAAATCTTCCAGCCAAAAAAAATTACAAACGATAACAATCACAAAGTCAAAACAAGGTGAGCCCGCGGACCCAAAAGCAAAAAGAAGCGCACAACCCAGGAAAAATAAACAAACACAAATTAGCAGGCCAAAACGAAGCATCAGCCCCCTCCAGGCTTCGTGGCAACTATGATATTTCAAGCATCGCGGTTCTGGTGCAACACAGCTCCACTCACCTCCCAACGGGCTTCCGCGAAGCATGGAGCAGCACTACCCACACCCATGCTTCGTTCTACTTGTGCACTGACCCGGAGCAGCCTGCAATGATGCTTGCTTCCTGGGGTCATACCAGGATTGGTGAGATAGTGGTATGCTGTCTTTACCAGCGCATGCATACTGCAATTCAGGAGGTGCAAGTAATGCGAAGCTTTTGGGGGCCATGTTATGATTAACCCTTCCGCTATTCATTTTTCTGGTTACGCGACCATCTCCATCCCGGAGGTGTAAGCAATGCAAGGCTTAGGGGGGGCCAAGTTATGCTTTACACTTCCTGCGCTCATAGCTGACATACCCAGTGACAAGTCTTATTACTGAAATGAAATAGGGTAACGTGAGTCTAGGGTCCAAGGCCCTTCGATACCACCATCCGGACATACGGCCGCACATCTTACAGCGCCAGTTCCGAATTACCGCTGCTGGTAGGGACCACTGGTGCTACCAGTTTTTCGATACACTGCTAGTGGACGCAGGATTTTGTCCGTGTCATGACGCAACCATCCACAACCCACAGAATAGCAGTTTCGCCATCACTAATAACAAGCAATTTCGCACGCTGTCTCCACCGGAGCATGTGTGGATGTTGTCGTAGTTGTTATGTTCTACGCGATTATTAACTCCAGGAGGTGTAAGTAACGCAAGGTTTAGGGAGAGCCATGTTACGCTTAACGCTTCCTGTGTTCACACCAGGATCTCGTGACCAACTTCCCATGTCGAGAAGGACGTGATCGGGGAATCACTAATGCCTCCATTGGCGGCCATGACCTTCATCGACGCGATAATGCATTTGAACCAAGCTTTCGTTTTTATAAAAATGCCTGGCAAAACTTTAGGCCACCTGGAGAGGGCCATATGCAGAACATAACGCCTATGAGCAATGCTTTTGTTTTGTCCCGCCAGCGTGGATCAACCTCCTCCCTCATGATAAGAAAAGATATGACGGAGATCGTGAGCAAGAGGACTGGTGACCCATGCAGAAGCCAAGTAGACCGAGAGCAATAAGGCATTTCGTCTTGACAGACAAAGTACAAACCGAGCATACTGCACTCCAGGTAGGTGGGAACCTGAGTTCTTGCCTGGCGCAGTGTGCAACGCGTGCAGATCTGCCTGAATGGACGAAGCTGCGCTGCTGTGGACGCATGTATTAGTCCGTGTCATGACGTAACCATCCAGAACCCACAGAATGCATTGGTAAATATAAAGAGTGTGTTGCTCCAATTGAGCACAGACAAACAGGAGGAGCGTTTCTCAGGTTCATCCCAATGAACTGCACGCTCTACGCATCGTTAACTCCAGGAGGTGTAAGTAATGCAAGGTTTGGGAAGAGCCATGTCATGCTTAATGGTTCCTGTGTTCATACCAGGATCTTGTGGCCAACTTCCAATGTCGAGAAGGACGTGATCGGGGAATCACTGATGCCTCCATTGGTGGCCATGACTTTCAACAAACTGCCTGCCAACAGTGTCTAAACCTTTCGCTGCAAGTGAGCTGATCCTGCTGCGACCCTCAGCTCCTGGCCGGTGTTTGGCACGCGTCGGTAGAGCGGAGACAGCGCGCGGCGGTAGAACAGTAGACGATTGGCACCCAGGTGAGAACCTCAGTTCTTCGTCTGGGGGCGTCTGCACTCAGCCAATCTTGTACAAAGATGGCACAAAGCACCATGCTAGGACATATTTCGGCTTCACCTATTTCACCAGGCCATGCGTGTCTGGGGATGGTGACCCATGATGACCGCTCTATCCATCCCATTTTGCATATTTGCACGCCCCCCCAAGCTCCTGCCACTGCCTGCCCGGGAGCTATTGGGCGGGTGTGCGCAGCCTCCCCCTGCTTGAGGGAGGTCTGTAGGTTACCTGCCACTGGTGAATGGCCTTCATGGACCGCAACTCGATGTCCCGGCACATTGTGTGGCAAACTTCGCGAATTCCGGCCTGACTAGTTAGTTCAACGATCTTTCACGTTTCACATGTCTCACCTTAGTACAGTGCGAAACCCTGCCCACATTGGTTGTTGGGGTCCTCTGGTGCTGGTTTTGTTTGGAGTCTTGTTGTTTTTTTGGGCGCTAGTCCAACTAGGTCTGTCCACTTAAGTTGACTGGTGGCTAAGGCAACTAGGTCAGGCATCTCAAACAGCGTAACCGGCACACAGTCATTGTCGACCACACCGAAGTGCTGCCGAGGGCAGAGGAATCTGGCAACTTCGAGCACGAAAACACCTGCCCAACAGTAAGAGACGTCACGGAGCCCATTTTGGTGATTGGCGGTGACCCACAGGACATCAGTCTTTTCCTTGCGCGGTCCTACCAGCTTACGTCTTTTCCTTGTGCGGTCCTACCAGGCCAGTGTGGGACATCAACAGGGTCTCGATTGTCAACTATGAGGTAAACCATGTCATTGCTGTTGATGCGGTCTGCATATTGCAAAAAACAGCGGAAGATCTCAGTGAACTTGGGGCCCTGCCCAGACTGATCCATGGTCGCATAACCATCATCCCTGGAGGCTGGGCCTCCCCCCGCCGAAGGTACCGAAGCTTAAGCCCTCCCTTAAGCCCCCCCCTTAAGCACCCCCTTAAGCCCCCCCTTAAGGCCCCCCTTAAGCCCCCCCTTCAAGCCACCCCTTAAAAGCCCCCCTTACGCCTCCCAGTTCCCTGTCCCCAGTTCCCTGTCCCCAGTTCCCTGTCCCCAGTTTGCTGCCCCCAGTTCCCTGCCCCCAGTTCCCTGTCCCAAGCCTCCTGTCCCCAGTGCCCTGTCCGCAGTTCCCTGCCCCAAGTTCCTGTCTCCAACTCCCTGCCGACAGTTCCTTGTCCGGAGTCCACTGTGTTCAAAACGCCAAAGTTGCTTGGGATAGGGAACTGGGGCCGGGAAGCTGGGGCAGAACACTGTGGACAGGGAACTGGGGACAGTGCATCCTCTGTCACATATGTCTGTACGTAAGGAATGGACAACCCAGCAAACGTCCAAAAACACAAGTGTCTTTTCTCACCTGAAGATTCTTCATGTACTGGTCAAAACGGCGGCGAGCCTGTTGCTTTTGTGCGGCCACTTACGCCCAACAAGAGGAGGCAAATTGATTCGAGTCTCTCGTTGCGCTTATTTTTTTCCACGAGTACGGACGCCGTGTGGGCGGGGTGCCCAGGTCATCATTGAAAGGAAAGGAAACACAGCATGGTGAGGGGGAAAATAACACAAGAACAAAAACCGCGGAAAACAACCAACCACCCAACAAAAAACACAAAACACCACCAAAGGCCAGAGGCCGGTTCCCCCTCATCTAGAAGTGTCTCCTCTGTACGAAGGTGAGACAAGCGAAAAAAGCTGACTGTGAACTAACTATGGGGCTGAATTCACTACGAAAGTCGGTCGGTAAGGTCAGCGTAAGAGTGGAATGCAACGGAGCCAATCAAAGGGGCTTCGCCCCACCCACAAAACTGTGACCACAAGGCCACTGCATCGAGTGAGGAAAGTGACAAAAGGGTGCTTTGCAGGAGCTGCCTTATTTGTTGTCAGCAGGTCTGATTCTTGCCCAGGGAAATCAGTTGTTGCCCTGCCAAGCGTGCCTTGGAAAAGTCCCATCTCGTTGCACAACCCTTGCAACTGATTGCACGAACGAGGCGAGAGGCATATCGATGGTCAGACAGTAGAGGCAGAGGCAAACGAATAGAGCTTGCTGACTAGGATGATGCCATCCCCCCCGAAGGGAGGTCTCCTTTGCACCTCTTAGCATTCAAGGAGTGCCAAAGCGGTACACTCTGTTCTTGAAAGAAAGAGAGGTGCTGACGTGCGAGCATTCTCCTGTTGCGTGCAAGGCCCGTGTGAAACCAGTGAAACGTGGACCTATCCTAGCATGGTACTTGTGCCTCTTTGTACAGCAATGGTCATGGCGTGGCCGCTGCAAGAGAACTAAGGTTCCCCTGGCAACCTTCCATTACCATTCTGTGAGGCCGAAATGATGGCTTTGCCTGAGCTTTCCTAGGCCTGGCTCGCAGTCCATCCCCACTGTCGTCAGAGTGTTGCCAGTCTAGGGTATGGCTTCTTGGAAGTCTTCTCTCCATTGGTCGTTGACATTTGGCGGCAGGAATCGGAGCCACTGGGGCTTGTCTAATTGCTCACATTTGTCAGAAGCATTGAGCCGGGCATAGGTACCTCGCCATGTTTTGCTTTTCCCTTTTTTACGAACTGCTCGTAGCTGCGTGCAACCTGCAAAAGCACGCCTCGCAATGTAAAGTAGGGATGGTGGGATGCAGACTTCTTGCAGCGAGGTACATTTGAGAAAGGCTTCTTGCTCAATGATTCGTAAATTTTGGGGAAGGCTGAGTTGTTGCAGCTGCGAGCAGTGCGCAAAGGTCCAGCCCAAAAGTTCACTGATACACGTTTGGGACAAATCCACAATTTGCAGCTCCTACCAGCTCACGCACGCGGCTGTCCCCTTCTGTTAAAATCTGACGGCAGTGTACTTTCATGATGCATGGAGAGTACAGCCAGTCCTGGATGCCCCCGGGTCTGAACTCGTCCTGCCGCCGCAACCGGGCCTTTTAGTGCACGGCTGTTATTGGC